GGATTGTGAACTAGATGACAGGTGAATGCGACTAAGTTGCCAGGGACCATCGGAAGCAAAAGAAAAATCCTAAACTGAAAATGGCTTTAGAAGGAACTGGAAATCCAATCCTAAACTGGAAACAAAGGATAAACCTCTACTCCTGTTCAAAAGATTGGGGAGGATTGTGAACTAGATGACAGGTGAATGCGACTAAGTTGCCAGGGACCATCGGAACAAAAAAAATGGCTTTAGAAGGAACTGGAATCCAATCCTAAACTGGAAACAAAGGATAAACCTCTACTCCTGTTCAAAAGATTGGGGAGGATTGTGAACTAGATGACAGGTGAATGCGACTAAGTTGCCAGGGACCATCAGGAAAAGAAAAGAAAATGGCTTTAGAAGAAAATGGCTTTGACAGGTGAAAGGAACCATCGGAAGCAAAAGAAAAGGAATAATGACCTCTACTCCTGTTCAAAAAGATTGGGGAGGATTGTGAACTAGATGACAGTTCAAAAGTTGAATGCGACTAATGCGACTTTGCCAGGGACCATCGGAAGCAAAAGAAAAGAAAATGGCTTTAGAAGGAACTGGAAATCCAATCCTAAACTGGAAACAAAGGATTAACCTCTACTCCTGTTCAAAAGATTGGGGAGGATTGTGAACTAGATGACAGGTGAATGCGACTAAGTTGCCAGGGACCATCGGAAGCAAAAGAAAATGGCTTTAGAAGGAACTGGAAATCCAATCCTAAACTGGAAACAAAGGATTAACCTCTACTCCTGTTCAAAAGATTGGGGAGGATTGTGAACTAGATGACAGGTGAATGCGACTAAGTTGCCACCATCAAGAAGCAAAAAAAGAAAATTTTAGAAGGAACTGGAAATCCAATCCTAAACTGGAAACAAAGATAAACCTCTACTCCTGTTCAAAAGGGGGAGGATTGTGAACTAGATGACAAATGCGACTAAAAGGGACCATCGGAAGCAAAAAGAAAATGGCTTTAGAAGGAACTGGAAATCCAATCCTAAACTGGAAACAAGGGATAAACCTCTACTCCTGTTCAAAAGATTGGGGAGGATTGTGAACTAGATGACAGGTGAATGCGACTAAGTTGCCAGGGACCAAGTTTACAAATCGGAAGAAAAAAAAGATTGGAAGGAAAAAACTGGAAACAAAGATGGGGGAGGATTGGATGACAGGTGAATGCACTAAGTTGCCAACCATCGGAAGAAAAAAAGAAAATGGCTTTAGAAGGAACTGAAATCCAATCCTAAACTGGAAACAAAGGCTAAACCTCTACTCCTGTTCAAAAGATTGGGAGGATTGTGAACTAGATGACAGGTGAATGCGGGACCATCGAAAAAAGCAAAAAAAAAGGATTAACCTCTACTCCTGAAAATTAGAACTAGATGAGAAGGGACTAAGTTGCCAGGGACCATCGGAAAAGAAGGAACAAATCCAACTTAAACTGGAAACAAAGGATCTACTCCTGTTCAAAAAGATTGGGAATTGTGAACTAGATGACAGGTGAATGCGACTAAACTGGAAAAAAGAAAAATAAACTGGAAATCCAATCCTAAACTGAAACAAAGGATAAACCTCTACTCCTGTTCAAAAGATTGGGGAGGATTGTGAACTAGATGACAGGTGAATGCGACTAAGTTGAAGGTGGGACCATGCCAAACAAAAAAATGGCTTTAGAAGGACTGGGACCATCCTGTTCAAAAGATTGGGAGGATTGTGAAAGAAAAATGGCTTTAGAAAAAAAAAGAAAATGGCTTTAGAAGGACTGGAAATCAAACCTAAACTGGAAACAAGGATAAACCTCTACTCCTGTTCAAAAGATTGGGGAGGATTGTGAACTAGATGACAGGTGAATGCGACTAAGTTGCCAGGGACCATCGGAAGCAAAAAAAAGAAAATGGCTTTAGAAGGAACTGGAAATCCAATCCTAAACTGGAAACAAAGGGATAAACCTCTACTCCTGTTCAAAAGATTGGGGAGGATTGTGAACTAGATGACAGGTGAATGCGACTAAGTTGCCAGGGACCATCGGAAGCAAAAGAAAAAAATGGCTTTAGAAGGAACTGGAAATCCAATCCTAAACTGGAAACAAAGGATAAACCTCTACTCCTGTTCAAAAAGATTGGGGAGGATTGTGAACTAGATGACAGGTAATGCTCCTAAGTTGCCAGGGACCATAAAAAAAAAAAAGAAAATGGCTTTAGAAGAAAAATCAATCCTAAACTGGAAACAAAGGAAACCTCTACTCCTGTTCAAAAAATATTGGGGAGGATTGTGAACTAGATGACAGGTGAATGCGACTAAGTTGCCAGGGACCATCGGAAGGAAAATGGCTTTAGAAGGAACTGAAATCCAATCCTAAACTGGAAACAAAGGATAAATCTCTACTCCTGTTCAAAAGATTGGGGAGGATTGTGAACTAGATGACAGGTGAATGCGACTAAGATCGAAGCAAAAGGAAAAATGGCTTTAAAGGAACTGCCAATCCTAAACTGGAAACAAAAGGATAAACCTCTACTCCTGTTCAAAAATATTGGGGAGGATTGTGAACTAGATGACAGGACCATCGGAAGCAAAAGAAAAGAAAATGGCTTTAGAAGGAACTGGAAATCCAATCCTAAACTGGAAACAAGGGATAAACCTCTACTCCTGTTCAAAAGATTGGGGAGGATTGTGAACTAGATGACAGGTGAATGCGACTAAGTTGCCAGGGACCATCGGAAGCAAAAGAAAAGAAAATGGCTTTAGAAGGAACTGGAAATCCAATCCTAAACTGGAAACAAAGGATAAATCTCTACTCCTGTTCAAAAGATTGGGGAGGATTGTGAACTAGATGACAGGTGAATGCGACTAAGTTGCCAGGACCATCGGAAGCAAAAAGAAAAGAAAATGGCTTTAGAAGGAACTGGAAATCCAATCCAGGGACCATCTGGAAACAAAGGATAAATCTCTACTCCTGTTCAAAAGATTGGGGAGGATTGTGAACTAGATGACAGGTGAGATGACAGGTGAAAACTGGAAACAAGGGATAAATCTCTACTCCTGTTCAAAAGATTGGGGAGGATTGTGAACTAGATGACAGGTGAAAGTTGCCAACCATCGGAAGCAAAAGAAAAGAAAATGGCTTTAAAGGAACTGGAAACCAATCCTAAACTGGAAACAAGGGATAAACCTCTACTCCTGTTGGGGGAAAACTAGATTGGGACTAAGTTGCCAGGGACCATCGGAAGCAAAAAGTGAACTCTAGATGATTGGGGAGGATTGAATCGGAAGCAAAAAAATGAAAAAAATGGCTGCAACTAAACCAATCCTAGGGAAACCTCTACTCGGAACTAGATGAAGTGAAAAAACCATCGGAAGAAAAGAAAATGGCTTTAGAAGGAACTGGAAATCCAATCCTAAACTGGAAACAAGGGATTAAACCTCTACTCCTGTACAAAAAAGATTGGGGAGGATTGTGAACTAGATGACAGGTGAATGCGACTAAGTTGCCAGGGACCATCGGAAGCAAAAGAAAAGAAAATGGCTTTAGAAGGAACTGGAAATCCAATCCTAAACTGGAAACAAGGGATAAATCTCTACTCCTGTTCAAAAGATTGGGGAGGATTGTGAACTAGATGACAGGTGAATGCGACTAAGTTGCCAGGGGCCATCGGAAGCAAAAGAAAAGAAAATGGCTTTAGAAGGAACTGGAAATCCAATCCTAAACTGGAAACAAGGGATAAATCTCTACTCCTGTTCAAAAGATTGGGGAGGATTGTGAACTAGATGACAGGTGAATGCGACTAAGTTGCCAGGGACCATCGGAAGCAAAAGAAAAGAAAATGGCTTTAGGGAAAGATGACAGGTGAAAAAGAAAAGGTACAAAATATTGGGAGGATTGTAGATGACAGGAATGCGAAAGGGACCATCGGAATCCTAAACTGGAAACAAGGGTGGCTTTATAAACCTCTAAAAAAAGATTGGGAGGATTGTGAACTAGATGACAGGTGAATGCTTGCCAGGGACCATCGGAAGCAAAAGAAAAGAAAATGGCTTTAGAAGGAACTGGAAATCCAATCCTAAACTGGAAACAAGGGATAAACCTCTACTCCTGTACAAAAGATTGGGGAGGATTGTGAACTAGATGACAGGTGAATGCGACTAAGTTGCCAGGGACCATCGGAAGCAAAAGAAAAGAAAATGGCTTTAGAAGGGACTGGAAATCCAATCCTAAACTGGAAACAAGGGCTAAACCTCTACTCCTGTACAAAAGATTGGGGAGGATTGTGGACTTGACAGGTGAATGCAACTAGAGGGACCATCGGAAGCAAAAGAAAAGAAAATGGCTTTAGAAGGGACTGGAAATCCAATCCTAAACTGGAAACAAGGGCTAAACCTCTACTCCTGTACAAAAGATTGGGGAGGATTGTGAACTAGATGACAGGTGAATGCGACTAAGTTTCCAGGGGCCATCGGAAAAAAAAAAAAGAAAATGGCTTTAGAAGGAACTGGAAATCCAATCCTAAACTGGAAACAAGGGATAAATCTCTACTCCTGTTCAAAAGATTGGGAGGATTGTGAACTAGATGACAGGTGAATGCGACCATCGGAAAAAAAAGAAAAGAAAATGAAGGAACCAATCCTAAACTGGAAACAAGGGATAAATCTCTACTCCTGAAAAAGATTGGGGAGGATTGTGAAAGATGAAAAGAAAATGGCTTTCGGAGAAAAAAAAGAAAAAAATGGCTTTAGAAGAACTGGAAATCAATCCTAAACTGGAAACAAGGATAAATCTCTACTCCTGTTCAAAAGATTGGGGAGGATTGTGAACTAGATGACAGGTGAATGCGACTAAGTTGCCAGGGGCCATCGGAAGCAAAAGAAAAGAAAATGGCTTTAGAAGGAACTGGAAGTCCAATCCTAAACAGGAAACAATGTATAAACCTATCCCCGTGTACAAATACCAGGGAGAAGTGTGTACCGCATTATAAGTGAAATGAACATATACTTACCTAATATACCTTTGGGTTTTGGCAGGGGCTGAAGGACTGTGAAATGAGCACTAAGTGCCTTTTCATTGTCTATAGTCTTAATGTATACTTTCAGCTTCAGATATTTCTTCACAGTTAGAATGATCTCAGTTTTGTTGGCAATAATAACCTTTTTTTGGTTTTTTTCCATCATTTCTGGTGTTATTTGTGCAAGAACTTTACGTTTCTTTTTTATAACCAGCCTCTTCAATGTATTCATACAGTTTGAAGAAGATGTTCTGTCCAAGATACCATAAATAAATATATCTGGAAATAAAAACGTAAATAAAAATATATATATGTGAACATGAGTAGGGTGTAATGGATAACTTTTCATCTAAATTATGCAAAAATGAAAATAATGCTGACATCTCATTTTAACACATATATTCACCAAAATTACACAAAAATATCTTGAAATACTAAAGAGTAAATTTATTTAATAAAATTGCAATCGGCTCCAACTATGGCATCCAGACAACTTCAGATTTTCCAGCAACTTTTCTGGACGTTTTTCTTGTTTAAGTTGGTGAATGCTGCCATAATCCTTGCCTTCAGTTCATCTTTGGTGTTATAAGGAGTTTTGTTGATCATAATAATCAAGGAGGTTGCAGTCTGGTGGGGAGGGGTTAGGTGGCTAGATGTAAGGAATGATACGGTCGCAGAAATTGTCTGACAGCCATGACTGGGTTCTCCTGCTTGTGTAGCATGGTGCAAGGTCCTGTCCATGTTCTACCAGCAGCGACCCTCTTAACCCAGGGCAGCACTGAAGAAAGAAGTTAGTTATCATATTGATTCATTTAATCCGAGTACATTTGACATTAGAAAAATGTCATCTACAAGACAAATTTGTGGTGTTTATCTGAAAATTATTTTTTATTTGTGAAATGAAAAACGTTAAACTTATGTACTATACCTTTTTAAATTTTATGATGCAAGCATACACGTCTAGTAATATCAAAGGAGGTAATTAAGTTATCAAGGTGTCTATTTTTTATTTTACTATTTAAGCTATTAGTTAAAACCTAGATATTTTTAAACTATCTGCTGTAAAGATTTTAAAACATTTGTGCAATAGTTGTAATTAATTTTATTAAGGGCTAGTTTCAATTTTTTAAATTAGATGGATTCAAGAATTTTTAGTTTTTGTTTATTTTTTTCATGAAAACGTATGGACGTATTTTCAACAAGAATTTTTCTATATTGCGAATGTGGACAGGCATGCTGTTGTAAATGTTTAGAAATGTTAGATGTATCATTCAAATGAAAACACAACCCCCAAGACATTGTAGTTGTAGGGTGACCAACATAAATATTTTTCTAGTGGAGATACAATCTGCCAAGGAATTCTAAATTCATATATAATGATGTTTTTCTGCAGTAGGTTAATTGGTGGGGTGGTGTCATTATGAATAATTCAGTTGGATATACTGAATTTAGTATATAATTAATTTTATTTTTTTTACTAGGATCTGTGGTGGATATATTAGTATTTATTAATTTTTTAGGATATTTTCATCCTGTTTATAATTAGAATGTATTTGATTGCGATATAAACGATTAATATGTTTAAGATTATTTGAAGAAGTATTATATTTTCTTTGTCCTGAAGATGACATTTTGCTAATCTCGAAAGTAGTCGAAATAAAAGAATATGCATCAATAAGATGCTGAATTTTATTATTTAAAATATATAATGCATAAATTAATGCTAAACTAAAATAATATAAATATTAATTACATTCTAAAAAAATAAAATTCAACAACAACATTTACTTATCGTCCATAATTTACCTTGAATTTTCAGTTAGTCTGATGTATATTTCTGAGCATTCTTAAATGAAAAAAATTCTGTAAAATGAATGACATTTTTACTTCTGCTTATAAAATACTTATATTTGCCTCAATAAAATCCACCAGAGGATGAAACATACTGGCTAAGAGAAGTTTTCTTCATATATATATATATATATATATATATATATATATATATATTGCACATATAGTGCTGGTGTTAATAAAACAGTTCTCAATGTAATCTAACAGCTATTAAGTATATATTGATAAATATACATGTCCATCACTGCTAGCATGATTTTCACGATGCAATCTTCAGATGCTGAATATGAACTGATCATTACAAATTTTGAATTTTAATAAATCTGGTTATCCTAATGTTGGCTTAGTTATATATTATGTTGAAATTACAGTTTTTTAATTTTAAAATTTTAAAATTACATTTGGCAATTAAAATAAGTGGGATTTATATATGTATGTAAAAAAAAATAAACTGAAAAATTATATCTTTGAGTGGTGAATATTCATATTTTATTTTTTTAAATTTTGAGAAAAATTTTTAATTAAAAGGGAGATTACTTTTTCTTATTTAAACAAAAAACATAAATTTATATTCAAATAAGTAAATAGTAGTTTACATTAAAAATAAACCGTAATTTACATTAAAAATTAAAAATTAATATTTAGGCAGATATTTACCTAAATCAGTAATCCAAAACTCTCTCTATAAATTGTCTGCAATGGGTGACATCAAAAGTACTTTGAGTTTTAGCTAGAACTGTTTATATAAGCTTACAAGCAGAACTTTCTTACTTCTTGCTAAGTGATACTTGTTTTTATTTATTTATCTACTTATTTTATTTCCTTTTGGTCAAGTGGGTGGCAGCTTTGAAGATCTTACTTCACAAACTTTACTGCTGGTTGTAAAAACACCAGGCACTTCAGACATAGATAAAATCTTTTACTATCCACTTCTATATGAGTGGTCTTATCTAATCATACGGGGGAGACATTGTGTCATACAACATTGTTAAGGTACTCCCTATACCTGTTATAGTTTTCATGGAAATAAATAAATGGTAATAGTGTTACTTATTAGTAAATAATATCAAACTTAGTACTTACAAGCATGGCTATCTGCAAGGAGAATGACTTTTGAATGACTAAGACAGGATTTATGACTTCTAAGGCACACTGTTTCATTACAGCCATATGGTTCTAGAATTATACCTAAAGAGAAAAAGAAATTTCACAGTTTAGATCAAATATAATTTAATAGAGAGAACTTAGCAAAGTTTAACAAATATACCTGAAAAAAAAAATAAACATAGTCAAAAGGACAGTTTTTCACTTCACACTGCTATTACTGTATGCACTTTTGACTCCCTCATTAATATTTATTGTTCTAAATAGCTATTTTTAGAATTTTAATAAAACTCAAGCATAACTATAAGTTCTAAGGCACTTTGACATGGTGTAATGGTTAGAAAGCTTGTCTTGTTGTATAAATTATGACAGAGTAGTGAGTTGGTTGACTACTAAAACAATTAGGTCAGACTGGCTGATGACCTTAGGTGATAGCTAAAAATAGCTTCTCACACACATGCAAAATCACATTATCCCGTATGAATGTTGGGTGGGAAAATATCAGTAGAAATTATTTGGAACATGAATCTTAAGTGAGTAACATCTCTTTTTATTTCTTGCCATCAAGCAAGGCATTGATGAGTTCCAATTCACCTCAACATACTATGCTGCATATATCAAATGCATGGGCAAATTACTAAGTTTGATAATTGCCTAAAACAGGCATATATGACACACTCAATCAGACTATGACCTATACAGTGCTAAATTTTTCTACCTGAACAATGAATTCTACATTAAAAGAAGGCTTTTATACCATTCTTTTAGAAGTAAGTTGTCCCATGCTTCCATTAAAAGAAAGCTGTCCCATCTTCCCTTTTTCCTTTTCAGAAATAAAAGAACATCAAATGATGAAAATACATCTCAGTTTTCTCCATTTTCACTCTTAAAAGTAAAAACATTTCAAATTCAAAATCATGAGTTGTATAGAAAGACATTGTTCTTACCTGGAATAAAGTTTATTACTTTTGTAGTGTTTGTACTTGGAGTTGTTGCTGTTATTAAGAATGGCCTCTTAGTGGTTGTATGTTGAATGGAAGCTGCAAAATACAATATTTGATTAAATGTGAAAAAAACAAAATGTTAATCATGGATAATAAAATATTGTTTCTTACAAAATATGTTGAGAAAAGGTCATCAAACATTTTTGGAAGTTGGCCAGATTAATATAATATTTTCTTTGTATCTTAATACTGTTGAGACTTAATACTTGTATCTTAATACTTTCTTTTAATTTTTCTTTGTATCTTAATATTTTTATCTTAATACTTTCTTTGAATCTTTCATTGCATCTTAATACTTACTTTTAATCTTTCTTTCTATCTTAATACTTTCTTTCAATTTTAACACTTTATTTGCATCTTAATACTTTTATCTTAATACTTTCTTTGAATCTTTCTTTGCATCTTAATACTTACTTTTAAGCTTTCTTTGTATCTTAACACTCTTGTATCTTGATACTTTCTTTGCATCTTAATACTTTTATCAAAATACTTTCTTTGAATCTTTCTTTGCATCTTAATACTTTCTTTTAATTTTAAAAAATTTTTCTTTGTATCTTAATACTTTTATCTCAATACTTTCTTTGCATCTTAATACTTTCTTTTAATCTTTCTTTGCATCTTAATACTTTATTTTAATTTTTTAAAATTTTTCTTTGTATCTTAATACTTTTATCTCAATACTTCCTTTGAATCTTAATACTTTCTTTGTATCGTAATACTTTTATCTTAATACTTCCTTTGTATCGTAATACTTTCTTTGTGTCTTAATATTTTTATCTTAATACTTCCTTTGAATCTTAATACTTTCTTTGTATCTTAATACTTTTATCTTAATACTTTCTTTGAATCTTAATACTGTCTTTGTATCTTAATACTTTCTTTGAATTATAAAATTAGTCTCATATACTGTTAATCAATTTAAATTTAAATTAATTTGATCAGTATGTCTGGTTAAAGGCCAATGGAAGTTCTTTGTTAAGGATTTTTTCTATTTTCTTTATATTTCATAAACTATGCCTGTTCCGACACACAACAATCTCATTCAGAACAATTCTTAAGCATTTGTACAACATGAACATTAGTAAAAAACAAATTACTATTGTTTTAATTTCAATTAAAAGATTAAATCTGTCTATATTTCTGAGATGAGGTATTAGGTACATTATTTACATTATTCTGACTATTGCAGATATCTCTCCCAAGTAAGAACCTCTAACAGAGGAGAACATGACTAAAGACTGTGTGTACGCTATCCCGTGCAGCTGTGGAAAGAAATATAAAGGGGAGACAGGCCACCCCCTTAAGGTAAGGCTTCAAGAACTCCAGAAAGCTATAACATAAGGGGAAGTGGCAAAATCAGGCATGGCTGACCACATATGGAGAGAGAAGGGAGATCACCACCTTCTGTGGGACCAGGTTGAGATCATAGACAAGGAACATTTGTAAACTTAAGGGAAATTTGTAAACTTAAGGAACCAGCACATATGCTAGGCCACAAAAATCTCCTGAGCCGACCAAGCATAGAAATGAATACAATATGGGAACCAGTAATAAGGAATGCCAGAGAAAAGCTATAACAACAACAAAAGTTGCAATATGAGCTCTGGTAAAAACATTCAATGATAACAGCAAAAAATTGCAATATGAGCAGTGGTAAAAATGGTTGCTGAAGACATTAGGTTTATAATATAATAATATATTATAATACCCAGAAATTCATGCACAGATGTCCTCAAGGAGACATGGCACAGTGGATAAAGGCATTGGTTAGATCCAGTGACAGGACCCAAAGAGTGTGAGTTCAATACCCGGTTAAGGCAGTGGAGAACTTTCAGAGGGAAATTAGCAGGAGATAATTGACATCAAACAGGTGGAACTACCAGTGAATGAAATAAAGGGTTAAGTTTGACATTCCAACCACCTGACGATGGCTGTTGTATGCTCCATTGTAATAAATATGGTGACAAAGATGAGAACAATAGTCTGAATAATGTAAAAAGATTAAATATAAATGATCTGATGTCAAAGTACAAGTACTCATGCACTGGATAATTTAAATTTTCACCATTTAAATAGAATTTATCAAAATTTAAATATAAAATGACCAATGAGTACTTGTATTCAGACACTTGATAATTTGTTTAAATTTTGAAAATTTATATTAAAATTTCAGCATTTAAAAATGAATTTTCAAAATTTTGGTATAAATAAGTAAATATTTTAAATTATATTTAAATTTTGAAAATTTCTTCTAAAATTCTCAAAATTTAAATATAAATATTTGAAATTATATTTAAATTCTTAAATTTATATTCAAATTTTCACAAAAGAAAAAGAAATTATCCAAAATATAGAAAAAACAAACGTATTGTCAATATTATCCATTTCTCTATAAGGAAATATTTGGCATTCATTGAGTAAGCAGCCAGTACTGTTTTCAGTTGAATTTTATAAAATTTTTCACTTAAACAAAATTTTTTAGAAAAACAGACTGCCCAAGTCCAGTAACTGTTATCTCTCTTTTCAATATTGATGAGGATTTCTTTCCTAACCTTTTATTTGAAGTGGTGTGGAACATCAAGATCATGATTGATGCCAGACATCCATATAAAAGTTCCAATCTGGCGTAGCCATTTAAGAACATCTTGTATAAATGATAATCAATTTATAGATTGAATTCATTTAAATTATTTACATTATTTGGACTATTATCCTCATCTTCATTGCCATATTCACAACGTTTTGGCTGTTGTACACTCGGATCTTCTTCAGGTGATGGGAATTTCAAACTGAACCATTTATTTCATCCACTTGGGGTAGATTGTTGTAGTTCCACATGCCATGCCCCTTCCAGCTGTCTTGGTTATTTCTCTTTAACTCAATTCTCCAAGTTTTTTGGTTCACCATTACTATCTTTTCATTACATAGGCGAACCAGTAAGAACCATTATTCACACATTGGATGAATTAGCATAATCAAGTGAATTTCCAAAGAAAAATAACCAAATCAGAGACTGTCTTGTGATAGGACTACAGAATAAGGACCTATTAGAACTAATTCTTGATTTGAAACTTGAGAAAACTATGGACCAGGGGCAGTGAATAAATAAAATGGAAGAATTACATGAGAAAAATGTAGATGACCTCAAGACCCAGAGAATTCAAGAATTTATTAAATGTGAATTCAAAAAGACTAGAATATTTTGGGCAGATAATTTCTGAAGATGAAATTCATCCCAGCCAGGAAAGACTAAAAGCTTTTCAGGAGTTATTGTCACCTACAAATTTAAGAAAATGATGATCTATAATTGGCATGATCAGGTAATTTCTTACTGAACTTGTCTGAAATAATACAACCAGTGATAGAATAATTAAAAAAGAATATTCTATAGGAATGGGATTACTTACAAGAGAATTCTTTTAAAAGAGTAGTGATGGAATTACTAACTCAAACACTAGTTCTATCATAAAATGATCCAGTCAAACCTATAGTACTTAGTGCTGACTTCAAAGCAGCACTATTTCAAGAAATAGATGGCAATTTAAAAATAATAGCATTTGCCTCAGGCACACTTAATAGCACTGATAGGAAATATGCACAAATTGAAAGAGTATTATATTGTGGAGAAATTTAGTGAATGCACAAAAAATTGGAAAAGAAGACTTGTGAATAGGGATGGCCCAATTTTGCTGCACAACAATGCATGGCCACATGCTTTTCAATGAACTGCTCAGAAGCTGCATAGTTTGAATTATGAAATTTTGTCTCATCCTTCATATTCACCTGATATCTCTCCTAATGATTATCACATATTTATGCATTTTGAGCTTTTCATATGCAATAAAACATTCTCCAACAAGGAAGAGGTAATCAAAGCATTTGAATTGTTTATCACATCAAAGGATGAGAATTTTTTTTAAAGATTGGATCAAGAATTTAGTGGTAGGTTGGAGAACAGTCATTCATCAACACAGTTCCTATTTCAACTGAATAAATTAGTTATTTAACATTTCAGAAGCATTTTATTCATTTCCTATAAAGTGCATCATTTCATGAGTGACAACCTAAAACCAGCAAAGTTAGCAAGAACCAGACCAGCATCCAATAAGAAATTAAACAAATTAAAGATATCAATTAAACAAGAGACAATATTACAAGAATTAATGCACATCTCATTAAATGGTTGGACATATGAAGAAGGAAGTCAAAAAGAAGGAATAAAGCCATATTTTCTAAGTCAGTCTGTGACAATTTATTGTTTTCAGGACAGAATTGTCATACCTGAAAAACTTGGACCAGAGAAATTAAAGACACTTCATAATGGTCACTTGAGACTAAATAAATGTCAAATGAGAGTCAAAGAATCAGTATGGTGGCCTAGAATATTTCAAGAGTTGGAGTATAAAAAAGTGCATGTTTTGCAATATATAACATTCAACAAATAAAAAGGAATTAAAATATGACCTCCTCAAGCTCCATAGCAAAAAATTGGTACAAATATTTTCACTCACCAAGGATGAATGAAGAAAAGTAATTTCAAATTGTCAGTATGTGGCAACTTTCATTTTATGCATGGTCCATGAATAAAAGTTGTACCTCAAGCACTTTGTCCTAGAACTAATAGATCTAAAATGTCATCCTGTTGGTATCAAATCAAACAAGTAACACCTGGGATACATATCCTCTTTCATAATATTTTCTGCTCTGCTGCAACAATAAGAATTAGAAATATCCACTAAGGAGGGCATCAAGCAGATGATTATGTTTTGAGTGACATCTATAAACATCTGGAGGGCTATAGTGTCCAGTGCTGAGCAGCTTGTATACCAAACAGTGATGCCGTACACCAGCTCACTCTAAAGAGTGCAACAATAGCAGGTCACTAACTGCTTCTTTTGTAAATTATTTTTTCTAAGAATTCTCATTGAACGAAGTAGCTGCTGAACCTTCTTGACAACTGTGGTGGTACTGCTCGTCCAGGAGAGGATGTTGGCAATGTGTATGAAGAGAAACTTAATTTTATTTGCTCTCTACACACAGACCCCATTGATAAATCAAATGTGCTGTGGTGTTTCTCTAAAAGTCCACCACTAGCTCTTTTTTGTCAGGTCTTTAACACAAGGTTACATGCTGTTGCTTACCTCTGTCTTTTCTACAAATACTTTCATGGTAACTGCATCGATCAGCTACTTTCGCTGGATCCCAAACTGCAGGAATTTAAATACGCTGCTAGGTTGGCATCTCAGTTAAATGTAGCTATCTCTTCTACTCCAATAGCTTCACTTCTCACACTTCCTGTCTGTGGAAGTCCCTTTCTCTTTCTTACTTCCCTGATACTTATAATCTCCAAATATTCAAATGCAATGTCAGTCGACATCTCCAGATGCCATGATCTGTTCCCTGTTCCTCTCTTTGTCCTTTCCTCTATCAAGCCTCTTTACTCTTGCTCTTACTCTCTGTAACCCCTTGTATGCTAGTGGCACTCCCAATTTCCATGGGGTGAAATGCTTAAGAAAAAAAAAGGTTATTCTCTGAGCTCCATGCATCCAATCTTTCTCTTTTACTCCGCTCATCTGCTTCATCACCCCTTAAAATGGTTAGACTTATTTTAGGGGATGGTGAGGTGGGCGATAGGGGTGAAATAGAAAAACAAAGCAACAAAAAAAAAAAATAAAAATAAAACATAAACAGCAAAAATGCTTTTTCTAGTCATTCTTTTCTTTTCTGAATATAGTCTTTTTTCATCTCAAGATAAAGAAGTTAGAAAAGGGACATAACTCCATGCAAACTAAAACTTGTGTAAAATGTCTAAAATTCTGCATTTAAGGTGATTAATATGAAACTAACATTACCCTGTGGCATTTTGTGATGAATCATAATTCTTCAGTTATTGATTGAATTAGCTTTTCTTGAGTTAAAAATTACCCATGGAAATTTCCCAATTCGATTATTAGATTATGGGAAAATTTTTAAAAATTGATAAATAAAACAATAATAAAGAATAAAAAAAGAAATACATTCTCTTATGATGCTAGTAATAAAAGGAAAGGGTTTTTGGTGATCTGTTCCATGATTTCTGACCTCCTGTATGACAGCTGAATACTCTCCTAAAAATGAAGAAGAGACTTGAAGCAACAGAAATATGATTCTACAGAAGGATGCGGAGGATACTATGTGCCAGACATGTAAGCAATGACAAAGTTTTTTTTTTAGAGAAAATGGAAACAAAAAGGAAACTTATACTTAATTTCCACACTCCAAAACACATCCAAATGCTATGCATTGGAAAGTGCAAAAAAAAGTTTCGTTTTCTGATCCAGAAGTAAGTTAGTGTACATTAGAACAAGAATAGTCATTTTGGTTGAGCTCAAGTCAGCTTTGCACTGATGTCAACAATAGCAAACGGGACCTAAAAATATTGCTTGCCAAAGACTAATGGGACCCACCCACAACTACAATGCTATCATTGAATTTTATTTATTTACTATGAAAATAATTATGGAAATAATCACACTTATTATAAAACCCAGTTTGTGTGTGTGTGTGTGTGTGTCTGTTTCGTTTATATATTGGATCGGATTTCCTACATTTTTCAACCGATTTCAACAAAACTTCACAGGACTATGTAAAATTACCTTGCGGTAGTTCTGACAGCACCAAAAATTGGAAAAACACAATTGTTTTTGCATGAAATCAATTTGAAAACACAATTAAGAGGCATCGCTGTTGAGAATGAAAGGGGGACAACTCATATCGAGTTATACTTATTATAAAACCCAGGTTGTTTGTCAGTGTGTGTGTTCATTTATATATGGGATCGGATTTCCTACATTTTTCAGCTGATTTCAACAAAACTTCACTTTTTTTTTGGCAGGTAGTGTTTCTTATTGTTTTGCACAATTTTTCCTTTATTTTTACATTCAGAATGCTTTAAAAATTCCATTTACAAGACAATTGTTTATAATAAAATTCTATTCAATTGGTAGACTCATAACGATTGAAAACAATGCTTTTGTTTGAGTCTGGGTTTGACCAATTCGTAAAAAAAAACAAAACGAAAAACAAAACAAAAAAAAAACTAATTAAGACATGCATGTCCGTCAACCTTAAACAATAATCTTTGTCAATTTTATTTTTCAGTCTTTATGATGGTCGATACTTGATCTATCTCTTACTGTTACATCCCCGGGCAATGCCGGGCTCTACTGCTAGTGAATAAATAAAATTTTCAGAAAATGCATGCATAAAAAAGGTACAATTAAAATTATTTTGGTAAAAAGTGTATTTCTTAGTAATTACAGTCTACATGTATTGCACATATTACTGGCAGTAAATACCAAACATAAATACAGAATGTTATAACTGAATTTTTTTTAGTTTTCTTAACGTTTAGCACTCTACATTATTAATATTACTTCCCTTTCCACTGCATTCTTTTTCAAGGCCTCTCGATTGCTGTAATGTTATTGTTAATTTCACTTAAAAGTTTTTTGTTATCATATGACAACACAACTATGAAATTCAAACAAATTCAAATTCAGAGTCACCTTTAGTGACAGAATAAACATTTTGTACTCCAAACAAAGTCATATACAAAGTGACAAAGGTTAATTTTAAGTAAATGGATGATATTCTTAAATAGTTTGCTGCACAATTTACACATTAACAGATAGTTCAAAAGCACAATATAGAATTGCATGCAGTCCAATATATTAAGAAGAGCAATTGTTTGTGTTTGCTAGATGATTGTTTGAATCTGCCAATAATTTCCAGATCGAGATCATCTAACAATTCCTTTTCAATGGATAGCAACATGCATGATTCCAAATTCTCCACAGGCAGCAAATTTCTTAACCTTGTTTTTATGATCTTTAGCTTTGAAAATATCCTTTCACATTGGACTTGAGTAACTGATAAGTGTGCAGATGACTTTATAAAGTTCTTATTCCTTTTTATTAAGACAGTTGTTGGTTTCTTTTTTTGTATTTTTTTTTTCAGGGATCCATTTGCTATCTTTCAAAGAGACTACAGTCCAAATAAAATCAATTTTTCCACAACAAGTGAGTTTATTTGGTAAGATGAATTACTAATGACAAAGGTTGAATTTATTATGGACAGCAGTGTCATATAGGGTCTAAAAATATTGGTTGCCAGGAGAAAAGGGTTCCCACTAACAAGTACAATGCTATCATTTAATTTTCTTAATAAATAAATAAAATTTTCAAAAAATACACCTGGAAAAAAGGGTACAATTAAAATTTTTGTGAAAAAAATGTTTTAGTAATTACAGTATTAGTAATTATGTATTGTATATATTAGTGGCAGTAGATATCAAATGTAAATACAGAATGTTATTATTTTTTTTTAATTTGAAGTAATTGGTTGATATTTTTTAATAGATTACTGCACAACTGACATATTAACAGATAGTTCAAAAGCACAATATAGAATTGCATGCAGTCCGATATATTAAGAAGAGCAATTGTTTGTGTTTGCTAGATGATTGTTTGAATCTGCCAATAATTTCCAGATCCAGATCATCTAACAATTCCTTTTCAATGGATAGCAACATGCATGATTCCAAATTCTCCTCAGGCAGCAAATTTCTTGACTTTGTTTTTATGATCTTTAGCTTTGAAAATATCCTTTCACATTGGACTTGAGTAACTGATAAGTGTGCAGATGACTTTATAAAGTTCTTATTTCTTTTTATTACTAAAACACTTATTGATATCAGTGACAGTTTTTGAGAAAAGGCTTAAAATTGCAGAAAATTTGTTTCAATACGTACTTGCTAGCAAAACTCTTGGGACTACCTTGTAGCTTCTTGCTGGAAAAGTAAATATAACAGTCACATTTGAAAAATTTTCATATTTTTATTGTCCACTTATTAAAAACATTTAAGAAATTTATTTAATAAACTTTCCATTTTGTACTTTTTTTTAATCAAATTCACCCCTTGCAAGGCAGTAAAGCCACTAAGACACATGGGGTTATTGCATGTGAAATAATTAGAAAACAGAAACATTAAACTGTAAATTGATGATATCTTTCCAACAATCTGTTACTGCGCTTAAATTCATATAAAATCTTGGTAGCATAGAGAAAAATTTATCGAAACAATTACCATGAAAATATTTATAGAAAAGTCACAGAGAAGCTACATTAAAGCTGTTGGAAAGTGACTGAAGCTGATATGCCAGGTCAGGACCAATAACACTGCAGATTTCTCTTTGGATTTTATCAAGAATCTCTAAATATATAGCAGGAGTGCCAAACCAGATGTGGCAGCAATATTTCGTCAGGATCTTGGTTAAAATTTTTAACTTTGTGTTTAACAGAATTATGGACCTGTGGTTATTTAGCTCTCTCCCACCATGCTTACTCTTCCTCAACAAACTAATCACACCCCTGGTAATTTGGTCAGGGATGGATTTTGTCCAAAGCAGTTGTTGAAAAAAACAAAACAAAATCAGTACAAACATGTGTAACAGCCTTAAGTTCAGTTTGTGGGGCAAAACATCACATCTGGGAGATTTGCTACTGCCAAACAACTTTAATATTTTATGTACATTGCCCACCATGATCACCCCTTTATGGCTGGCCAATTTTACCTACACAGGTCAAGCAAATTTGGCTAAATAGCTCTGAAATTTCTGTTCACACAGGCTGGGCTCCTGAGTAAAATCATTTTTGGAAATGCTGATGAAAAGCTACACATATATCGTTAGTCGACTGAAACATGTCTCCATCTAGGGACAAAAAGTATTCATCTGGAACTTGAGTAATTCTTTTTTTTCTACAGTAGAGTTCACCTTGCACAAGGCCCAGGGGCTACTTGAGGTAGAGGGTTACATTAAGGGGTAGTTTATATGGATAGAATGGGAAGATAATGGTTGACTATAAGACTTGAACAGGTTAAGATTGTAGTGATCGGGAAAAAATCCTCATGGGAGTCTGTTCCACAGGGCAGTGGTTTATGGAAAGAAGCTGAATAGAACTTACTTCTTGCCAATTGAATATGGGGGGAATGTGGGTGATTTGCTACTATGTAATTGGCATGAAGATTAAACCTGTTGGAATTCTGCACCAGTGTTCAAGGCCTTGTCCAATAATTTTGTTAGCCTATCCCTAACTACCTGACCATAGTAGCACTAGCTTGTAGACTGCCCCAGGTCTTTCTCAGCTATTTCTATCATTAGGTTACCCCCAGCTGAACCACTGCTCAGGAAATTCTATCTTCTAATGTTGTCGCCTTCTGAGCCTTATCTAGAGTTGCTGACTATATTTAACTGTATACAACATGATCTTGTGTTTTAGATCTGCCCAGAACTTATTCCGAACTATCAGCCTAATAAATTTCTATTGAATTTAGTCAGTTAACTGTTGATGAAAGCCCAACTTGTCCAGTAAAGACACGTTAAACTTCCAGTCTCCATTGTGTAGCTGCATCTAAGAACAAAAAACAAGTTTGTGGTCCAAATAGCCTGACCAATGGGCTTATGGCCACATCACATTAAAACACTAGTTCCTGTACAATCACCAAAGTTAAGCAACATTGAGCTTGGATGTCTGAGTGGTGTAATGGATAATGGCTCAGAATTGTTAATCGGTGATCCGAGTTCCAATTCCCATTGGGTTCGTTATATTCACTTATGTGCACATACACTTGGGAAAGGTAAGAAGTATCAATTCTCCACCCAAATATAAGTCAATTAGTAAAACTTAGTTAATTAGTATCACTAATACCATTATTATCTAAAAAAAATTAAATAAAATGACATACAAAATATTTAGATTTTGACGTTAAATAACCCATAGAGGTGTTCATGTGCTGCTAAACAAAAACAGCTACCATATCTTTCTGTGTATTAGGCGATCTTTAGATAAGACAAGGTCAAAAAATGTAGCAAATTTTCATCAATTTATTCTATACCTGTAGTATAAGATGACTGCTTATTGATTATATAAAGATGATGTTATTAGAAATGTTACTTGCTGTATCCTTATAAATTCAAAATAAACAGAATATCAAAACCGATTCTATATCATGTTTTCCCTACAAAGGTAAACTATTGTTTCATCAAATGATCTCTTGCGAATACTGATTCTTCTTTTTTTTCTTATATCTAAAAGTTACAAACAGCCTGGTATACTAATGGCCATTTACTTATACTTCATTGACAGTCACAAAATACCACTAATAACAGTATGATAATGTATGATAATAGTACATTCAACTTTCAACATTTTTTTTTATTCAGTCTTTTCTGAACTTCTGTCTAAGCCAGTTGAAATTTCTTATTAACTCATAGATGTTATTACTGCTGTGATTAACATTACCTTGATGATTATTGAAAATTTAATGAAAGATAAAGGTTGTTGTGAAAGCAATCATAACTCGATGTTTACATTTTCCCAGCTGAGCTTGCATGAATACAAGTTGATTTCATTGATATGGCATTATTCTTCAAAATGGCAATTTATTATGAAGTTATGTCAGTAATATACAAGGTAGAAATGGTTTTATTACTTTTATTATCAGTTTATTTGATAATGTGAATCTTTTCATGTACATTATTGGTTATCACATGTAGGCTGAGGTTAGCCTACTGACAAACATCCCTAAGAATTTAAGCTTTCTTTTTTAGAATTGGATTAGAAGACAACCTCCCAATTTTTAAGGGAGATTTTTGGGATGGTCACCTTATATGCAGAAATATACAGTAACTAAGTAATCAATGGAACATGGGGCAATCTAATAAGTCTAGATTAATTATTCTAACTAACATTCTATCCAGGTAGCTATAGGTTCACATATATATCTCATCTGGGATCAACCCATTTAAACAGAAATTGGATTACTTAAAACTCAAAAAGTTACAAGTGAAACTCTGGTATTTCAATATTTTCTGTTATACTGCAAGCAACGAGATCAACTTGCCCACATGTGTATAAATATTCAAATGGGACATGAGACAAGGGGACAGCAAAAACTGTATTTAGTGGTCCACTGAGAAAATATAATAATACTCTGAAGCTGGACTTACTCTAAGAATGCCTGAACTCAACTAAGTAATTGATACATAACAATATTTTAAAGAAAGAGAAAACATTTACATACACATTCCAAATCTGAGTTTTCGACGAGGAATGAATGGTGAAAAATGTTTTTGAAAAACCATTGGTTTATGAGAATAACCTGGAATGATAAAAACAGATTAAAATTCAACCATATTTGAAAAATTGTTTTTTAATTTTTACTTAGTAAAATATAAATCAATTAAAATTATCTACCTAAATATGACATAGTAACATCTGTCTATATTTCTGAGATGAGGCATTGTAACTATTTATGCTATTTACATTGTTCAAATTGTTGTCCTCATATTGTCATATTCATGACGTTTCGGCCGTTGTACACTCTGGCTTTCTTCAGGATATTTCTATATTTCTGAGATGAAGTATTGTAACTATTTACATTATTTACATTTTTCAGACTGTTGCTCTCATCTTTATTGTGATATTCACTATGTTTTGGCCATTGTATGCTCCAGCAAGGACACATGGATAAAAGTGTTGGTTGAAGTAATCCAGTTGATCCAAAGAGTTGTGAGTTCAATACCTGGCCACAGCAGAGGCAAACATAAAATTGGAGATTTGATTTACTAAAGGAAAATAACTGAGACTGAGATATCCAGAAAAGGCATGGCATGTGGAACTAGAACAATCTACCCTGGAGGATGAAATAAAGGGTTTGGTTAGAATTTCCAATGTATATGACCTGAAGAAGGCTGAAGAACACAACAGCAAAAATGTAAAGTTATAATTCAAAAGGGATGTTCATTTATCAGTTAATTTTCTTATACCATTAATTTCATTCAGACAGTTCTTCTTCAGTCAACTTCTATGTGTCATGTCCCTTCAGGACATAAGTGATTATGAGTCTCCACAATTTCCTGCTCTTTATAGTTATTAATAAATCTTGTCTTTTTGTTATCTCTCCTAAACCTTGTTCCATCATTCATTTACCCAAGCTCATTCTTCTATGTAACGTGTCCTTTCACAACATTGGCAATCATGGCTCTCCACAATTTCCTGTCCTTTGTAGCTCTTAGCAAATTTTCTCTCTTATATGTTTACACTGTGGAAGATCTTCATAGCTGAGGGGTTTCAAAGTACACTAAGCTACACAGTGATTTCCCTTCATATCAGATGGACTCAGCTTTGATCTCTGTATCTTTTCTTTATTAAAGATTCTTGAATAATCAATGCTAGTGGATGTCAATTATTCTGCTTAGAAAACAGACATCTACTCACACACTAAATATAATATTTATGTTTATATGGTCTTTTGTCCTTGTTTTGGTGTGTGGTTCCACCCACAAAGTGTGTAAAAGTATTTTTGATAAAGCCTGTATATATAATTGTATGTTTGGGCAGTAATCCTTCTTTTATACAAGTTTCATTAAAAATGACTGACAAAGTACTGTGGTTAAGTTTTTTATTTAATCTTTTTTGTGTTCTTTTCTCTATGTCAAGTGACACTAAAATGCTTTGGTCTGATTGTGCAGTTTTAAGTATTTCAAAAAATTCATGAGTTGATTTGATGCTACAATCTGTAGATAGATGTGGAGTAAAGATATCATTGAAGAATTCTGACAATGGCAAAACAAAATTGGTATTGGCATCTGTGAAATGATGGGTTATCTGGCTAGTGGCTATCTGGTTTTATGCATTTCCACATAAATATCCTGGTTGTAATTCTTCAATGATTTTGTCGATTTTCCAGGATGATCCATCAGCATTGTTTGATCTTATAAGCTTGTTAACAGGTTTCTCCATATCTATTTATCAATTATAGCATCAAATCAACTCCAAATCCTTAAAACTTAGGTATTTTACGATTACTTGATGTAGAAAATGTATTTACATAAGAATGCAAGAAAAATTAAATAAAAAATTAACTGCAGTTGAAGACAACTGACCGAACAATGTAAATAGTATAAATAGTTAAAATAGCTGCTATAGTTATTCAGATGACATGAAGTGGAAAGACTATTTTGAATCCATTGCTAAGTCAGCAGCTAAGAAAGTTGGTTCAGTGTCATGCAAGGCAATTTTTCTCTCCAGAATCTATCTTACATATCTATGTCAACCATTCATCCATGCTTAGAATATTGCTGACACATATGGTCCAGTGTCCTTGAGCTCCTTGATAAAATCTGAATAAGAATCAGCAATATTATTGGTTCTGATCTGATGGCTTGGCTTCAGGCACTCTCCAACTGCCATAAGGTTGCCTCTCTATGTATTTCCTGGTAATTGTTCGGATGAGCTTTTGCCACGGTACCCAGACGTTTTGAACTTAAGCATAGTACTAGACTGGCAGTGAGACGTCATTAATTTACAAGTGAGTTGGCTAGATGTAACTGTAAATTCTATACTAACAGTTTCTTTTCTCACACTTCTCATTTGTGGAATTCCCTTCTGGCTCCATACTTTTCAACCAACTTTAATCTGCAAAAATTTAAATGCAATGTCAATTGCTATATACTCCTGATTAGTCCATTGCTGTATGTCTTCCTGATTAGTCAATTGCTGTATGTCTTCCTGATTAGTCAATTGCTGTATGTCCTCCTGATTAGTCAATTGCTGTATGTCTTCCTGATTAGTTAATTGCTGTATGTCCTCCTGATTAGTTAATTGCTGTATGTCTTCCTGATTAGTTAATTGCTGTATGTCCTCCTGATTAGTTAATTGCTGTATGTCTTCCTGATTAGTCAATTGCTGTATGTCTTCCTGATTAATCAATTGCTGTATGTCCTCCTGATTTCTCTTTTTGCTCCTACTCATTATTAATGTTTCTGTTCCTAATTCTTCCACACTCTATAACCCCTTGTGTCTTAGTGGCTTTACTGCCTTGCATAGAGTGATTTAAAAACAACTTCATCTCAGAAATATAGACAGAATTTGCAGTAGGTCTTCCAATAATCATTACTGTATAAAAAGCAACTTAATTCTTGTTTTTGAATAGCAAAATGGACTTACCTTTTTCAGTGGATTCCTCCAATACATTTCCAACAAGATTGGCTTCAGTTACAACCATTGCGGTCAAGGGTGTGACAAAGCCATACTGCATTAAAAGAAATTGAAATTAGAACATTTATGATTTTTTCATCCTCTCATTTTATAATAACATCATAAGTCCTTCCCTCTCTTTGTAGGTAATCATGGCCCTCCACATATGCATGTATATTTGTAAAATTTATGCATGTAAAATATCTAAAATATATGTGGATATTTCTAAGTGCATATCCATATATTTTGAAAAAGCAAATAATTACAAATATGGAAAGCCTCATAAATTTGCATGTCATCTTTCTTGTCGTAGTGGAAAGACTTGTGTGATCCAATGACTCTGAGTACAATGCTATTGGGAGGTTTAAATTCTTGGTAGGGAGACCCTTGGCATCAGGGTCAAAGACAAGGACCCAGACTAAGCATGACCAACCACAAAGACTTCAAAGTGGATAATAAATATAACAGATCTCAAGGGGTGAACCAGCCGATTAAGAGGGCTATGCATGACAGACATGCTACAGAAAGTGCCAGTCTAAATTATAACTGAGTTAGAGGCAGTCCATTATACTTTCATAACTGGATTCTTCATGTCTCGTTCCATGTGTGCCTACAGAGAAAGGTCATGAAATCAAGTGTGTGGGTCACTTCCTGGCAAGTTGGGGTCATCGGCACTTTCTTCTATTCTGATTTTCTTTCATCCCCAACCAATTCTTGCAAAGCCAAATGTTAATGAGGAATGGATGACGAGAACAGGTTTTAGTGAAACTGGAAGCTGTTAGTTATGGCCCTGTACATTGTTGGCGGATGTGTAATGGTTGTCTTTCTCAGACCCACTGACTACTTAAGTGTTTAGTCTTGCATTTGTGTCTGGACCTGTCTGTTTAGGAGAACCACTGCCCACCTCAATCAAGGAAGGTCCTAAAAAATGTGGATTAAACATTGGAAGTCACCAATGCCTGGCTGGGAAACTGCACATAGCAGGCCAATCATCATGCCATTGACACAACAAGAGACTTAAGACTACCAATATTATCTTTGGAACATGGAATGTTAGAACTCTTTTCAATATTGACAGCACCGACAGACTAGAAAGATGCAGAGCTCCAGTTTCAAAAGAACTGGCTAGACTCAATGTAGACAGTATAGTCCTGAGTGAAACATGTCTTTCAGAAGGAAGACTCAAACTGGTTCTGGCTATACATTCTTTTGGGAAGGCAAAGAAAGGGAGAGAAAAGAATCCAAGCCGTCATTTTTGCTATTAAAACCTGCATCATTCGAGACCATCACATAACACTGGTATATGATTCTTTATTTACCAATTCTTAAAGAGAATTACATCAGTTTCATTTCTTTCTGCTTAAGCTTCCAGTTGGGAGACTGTCTATAAAATGCTTTTACAAGTAGACCAGTCTTTTTAAGAAATGCCAAAAAATATATATAATTATAATACTTACTCTCAAAGCCAATGAAATAATTTTCTCAGAATTTTCCTCTGTTTTGTCTTCCTTCAGGAGTTTCTTTAAGGTGAGAAAAACCCAGGTATTTCGCGTGATCTCAGACAGAGAACTTAAGTCTGTTAAGTTGGGGTTGTTTCCTACTATTGTATTTTCAATATCTGCCAATTTAACTTTAAGATCAAATGTTTTAGTGCCGTAAAAGTTTGTCATTGTCATTTGAATGTTCATTTCTTCTTGGCCATCAGAGTGGAGTTGACCAGTTGTAACAATCTCTGAGCCCTTAAAGTAGCTGCTAAAATTGGTAGGAGAGAGTGATTGAAGATCAATTGATTCATCCAGATAAGTGATTTCAATGTCCTTCAGTAAAATGTTTGTGATTTCCTCATATAATCCTTCAATCTGAAGTTGACTATCAGCAGCAATATAAATTTTCCGACTGAAACCTCCATTTTCAGTGGCTACTTCTTTAAGGAATTTGATGTTGGAATTATCACCAAAACCCAGCATGAAGAAAGATATACTGCCATAGTTGGCTTCCTTTACATTTTTTCGGATTCGTTTTGTATTTTTAACTCCTACAGTAGGTTGGCCATCGGTCAAGAAAAACAGGACATCTTTTTTCTCAAATGATTGAACAGAATTTAGTTTCTCAACGCTTTTTAAAAGGGCATCATTGATATTTGTTCCTTGAAGAAAATGAGAATAATAAAATTTTAAATTAATTAAAAAAATTAAACTTATTAAAAAACAAAAATTAAAGATAAAATAAAATGGTTATATAAAAACTGCTGATCACTAAATTGCTTTGAGTAGATGGAGCACAACAGCCCTGGAAAGCAGATGATCTGCTGCTAAGTGGCATAGTAATTTTAATGCCTCAAAAATGAAACTGATCCCTATCAATCACCCGAGAGACTCCTTTTTGCCTTCCATTAGAATAGTTGATGCTAACCTCTAGAAGAGTAACTTTTTGCTCCTTCTCGAGTGAACACTTTTAGCTGACATGAAGTGGAAAGATTATATTGAATCCATTGCTAAGTCTGCTGCTAGGAAAGTTGGTTCACTGCGTCGTGCTAGACAATTTTTCTCTCCAGAATCTATCATTCGTCCCTGCTTTGAATATTGTTGTTGCTTATGGTCTGGTGCTTATGATATACATTTAGAGATTCTTGATAAAATCTAAAGAAGAATCTGTTATTGGTCCTAACCTGGCATCTCACCTTCAGTTCCTTTCCCATCGCCATAACATAGCTTCCCTCTGCCATTTTCTATAAATACTTTCATGGTAATCGTTCTCTGTGGTACCTAGACTTTTTTTTTAATTAAACACAGTAGTAGATTTGTAATAGGCTGAGACATTAGACTAAGACCAATAATATTGCTGATACTTTGGATTTTATCAAGAATTTTTAAATATGTTGCAGGAGCACTTAATGGTAGTAGCAATATCCAAACCATGGACAAATGGTAGACTCTGGCAATACAGTGAACCAACTTTCCTAGCAGCAGATCTAGCAATTGGTTCAATATAATCTTTCCACTTCATGTCAGCCGAGAATGTTAACCGAGTATATAGTAAAGTATGGGCAAAGCTGAGTGGTTAGAATGTTTGATTTCTGACCATGAGACACTGGTTCGATTCTCACCATGGTTTATTTGTCAAGAAGGTGACTTCTTGATGTTATCTTTCTGGAGGAGATGATCCCAGAATATGGCACCTTTGGTAAGTGCCTGAAGACCATACCACAAGTTGACCCAAATCTTGTGAGTGAAATTGAGTAGATGGAATTATTTGAGAGTCTTTGATGGTTGTATTAGCACAAAGTCACAAGTCATTGTGACCAAGTGTTTTGAGTGTACTGGCCTTGTTCAGATTGTTGATCTCACTAGATTATATGCTCTCTCCCAGAAACTGTAACTAAGGTTTGTTCAGTATATGTTATAGTGAAACACACCTATTCTATAGTTAATAGACTCTCCCACCTATAATAAGTAGGAGTAGTAATAGTAATGAGTCAGTCGCTCAGTTGCTGAGTGGGTTGGTCCGTCAGTCAATGCCAGACGACCGTTAATTGGATACTAAAGTATCAGCAACTACAACTAGATTTCTCTGCATTATACTTATTATATGAAGTTCCTAACATTTTGTACGTCGAACCTATTTTAGGACCGACTTAGTACAAATACAAGCCTCCACTGTGAAATCACTCCATAACAGTATAGTTGAAGTATACACCACAGGTGGCCTCTGTGGGTGTTGAACAAACACAAATGTGACTGAGCAGGTGCCTACGCTTGCAACAGGGATTGGGTTGCCACCTTTTATAGGCAGACATACCAGCCACTATTCATTGTATATTATATAAGTAGGTACCTCCAAAGATTTACTAAAATTGAGCATACCATGATGAAAAAAATGCCCCAAACTTAATAAAAACAGTTTTATTGTCAAAATCTTGATCTTATTATTAAGAGGAAAGACCAAACAAATTTTTGATGATTAAATTAAATTTTTAAATCTTTTTTAGAACCTGAAAAAAATTTTAGTTTTTGAAAAACACATTGATTTGGACTTGCAAAATATTGTCAGATTTTAATGAAAATTTCATGACATCTTCATAAATGAATTAAAATATTTTAGAAAATCTTTGTAAAAAAATCTTTTTGTTGTATCTGTTATCCCACACTTGTTTAATTTTATGAAATTTTGAGGAATTCATTTTTGTACGGCTTAATGTTTATATAACAGAAATACTTGGAAAATTTTAAACCACCAATTATTTTTGTAAAACTGGACCCTCAGTTATTGAAAATCTCCTCTGAATTGTAAAATAAAAATGTAATAAAAATAAAACATCATTTATTTAGAAAAGCTTTTAACTGTTTTTATAACTAAGATATGTCATGAACACTATTGTCTTAAGAAAAAAACATTTTGATGAATAATGAATTTTTACAAGAATTATTTTCATTTTTTTAAAATTTTAGAATAATTCATAAAGTTTTAAATCTTTTAAAATTCTGTGCTGGTTAGGTGATATTAGTTATTAAGTAAAAACTATAGTTACTAAACATAAATAGAAAAGTTTACTACAATTCAGTGACCACCAGTATTTTAAAAACTATTTTGAATTTTTTTGTGTGTCTTTATGTGTATGAATACGGACATCTGTATATGACATTATCAGAAAATAAGAGTGATAATTCTAGTATATTTAAAGCCAGAGTACCTAAAATTCATTAAAACATTAGATTACTTAAAATATTTGCCTAAATTTTTAAAATTACCAGGTAGTTAAAAATTACATAAAAAGGTTACTCACATTATATTTTTCAAGTAATTTTTATAGATATGTCCCCCATAGAAAACATTTTCAAACATGTCTATCGAGATAGTTGTCAACATCTCATAAAAACACCAACACCCATGCTTTTCTGTGATATTTTAAACTAAAAGTAAATAATATTTCTTTCAAATCAGATTAATTAAACTTTAAATCGCCTAATCTTTCTCAAATAAAATTTCAGAAAAGCATACTTCATTTTTGAAAGATTTTTTAATAAAGAGAATTACTTAGTGCTGATAGATTTATAAATATGTATAAAATCAGCCATTTTTAGCTATTAAAAGATCTCATTCCATTCAATGTAAATTTGTTTTGAAATACAGCAAAATATTTTATTTTGCTTATTGGAAATATTAAATTTAATCTATTAGCTTGAAATTAAAACTAAAATAAAAGCTGCAAGAAAGGATTTTCATTTTAAACTTATGTATCACTTATTAAACAGTGTGCCTATTGGTCTGCGCGTTCAAAACCAAATTTCGAAGCCAGTTCGGAAGCACATGTCTTAAGGACTATTACAGGGATACCATTATGTCCACATGTTTTATGATGATCCAGATTAGAGATGATAGCAGAAACCGTAGAAGAGGTTATATGCATATCACTCAACAGAGACTCAGTTCTAAGTGGGAAGTTAGGCAAGGATACTCCTGATGAGTCAAGATTAGAGTTTAAGGAGAATTTACAAGCAAAAAATTCAGGTTTATCAACAGAAAATGTTAACACCTCAAATTGATTGAAGAGAAGAGGGATGGAAAACTTACTCTTATATAATACACTAGTACAAAGCCTCCAGTAATCACGAGAGCCAAATTTGTCAGATGCAATACGGTGCCTCCTTTTCTCAACAGACACTTAGCTTCTTCGAAGACAAGTTAAATTAATTAATTTAATAGCTTGAAATTAAAACTAAAATAAAAGCTTCAAGAAAATTTTTTTTACTTTTAAAAATTCATTTTAAACAAAGGTGTCACTTTTCTTTGAAGATACTTAAAAAAGTGCTAAATAGTAATAAGATGCTAACCTCCATTAGCATAAAGTTCTTTGACTGCGTTTATGGCGTTGGCAATATTGATCTTTGTAGCAGGCACAAAAACACCATCATTCATCCAACGGATATTTGATGAAAAGGAGCCAATAAGGAAATTATCTAAATCTGGTACCAGGGAATTCAGAATAGTGATCATGGCTTGTTTCAGTTGTTCGAGTTTGGGTAAATTCATCGAGCCGCTGACGTCGAGCATAAAGACAATGTTCTTTGGTAGTTGGGGTAGAGAATCCGGAGTAAAAAAATGGACAAAGTAGCCATCAACAGCCTGAAAAAAAATCAACATAAAATTTCTCAAAAGAAGCCATATTAAAGACAACATTGAATCGAACATCTAAAGTTTCTACAAAAATGGTAAAATACAAAATAAACAATGGAAAATGGAGCCCTCAACAACTCAAAAAAAATGCACAAAAAGAATAAATCAAAAAAGAAAAAAAGAAAAGAAAAAGAAAGAAAGATAAAAGAAAAAGTAAAAAAAAGAAAAAGAATACAAAATGAATAATGAAAAGAGTAGTCTTCAACAACTGACAGAAAAGAAAATTAAAGATAAAGAAAAAAGAAAAGAAAACGATAAAATATGAAATGAATATTGAAAAGAGTAGGCTTCAACAACTGACAGAAAAGAAAAAAGGAAAATTAAGGAAAAAGAAAAAAACAAGAAAAAAGAAAAAGAATAAAACAAAAACAAAAAGAAAAACAGAAAAAATATTAGTAATAAATTTCATTCTTTAGGTATATTATTTCTTACTTAGCCTGAAAAGTTGCCAATGCATCAAGAAATTAGTAACTGTGGTATTGTCATATAACGGTCATGAGTACATAAATTTTATTATTTTTTTTATTTATTTATGGTCTTTGTTATTTGGTACAGTTCTTTGTTTGTGACTAGTGCCAGTCTACAATGTTCAAAGACCTTTGCTCTAAGCCTCTTTTCATTATTGATGTGAGAAAGTGGTTGTATACAGCTGACAGTTTTAGATATTTCTGAAAGAGTTTGGTACCATGCAATGACATCCGTATGAAAGTCATGATCTGACAAGGTTATTAAAGAACACGACTTGAGTTCTTGGGTTAATATTTTGGTTTTGTAGCAAGTGTTGAGTGAAACTATCTCTGGTGCAGCTGATTCTATGTTCAATTTTTATTTTTATTTTACTTCATTAATTTAAAATGAATTTACATTGAAAATTCTACCCACTATTATGTTTCATAAGATTTAATAAAAATGTGTTGATATCTGTGGTATAGAGGACTGAATCTATAATAATATAAAAAAAAAAACATTGAAAAAAAAAGATTATTTTTGGTTGTTTTCCTTACTATAGAACTGTACCAAAATACTACAAACTATCCAGTAAAAGGGTTTGGTGATGCACAGGATCAACTCCTTGATTGTATGCCCCTAAAACTCAAGTAGAGAAACCTGCTCCAGTCTCACTTATCAAAACATGGATCCACATTCACACCAACATGTGTTGACTGTAGGGTGCTTGTACAATGAACTTAACAGAGACAATTTCAAATTTCAAAAAATAAATTCTTATTTCACTCTTTTATTGGATGCCCTCCTGATATGGGTGTCTGCAGCCATCACACACTCACCCTCCCCTTTCTGCATGCTCTTAAGTTAAAACATAACACATAAATGTGATTTTTCAATGATTCTTTCAAGTTGAAAAAATATAATTTTCTTGCTTTGTTTAGAGAGAATTCAAACATCTCTATTTAAGCCCTTCATTTAAGTTTCATTCGCTATTTAAAAAAGTGCTTAAATTTTGTTATTTTTTAGATTGTTAGTATATACATCTACAGGAAGGCTCCATTTATTAAAAACAGGCTTCTACAAGCAAGACAAGAATTTTTAAAAGAAATTATTAGTTGCTTTTAGAATGAATACAGAGTGCCCAGTAAAAAAAGCAGAACATTTATCATTCGACTCTCACGTAATTACTTAACTCTGATTGGTTCTTTTATGATTGATCAATTGCTGCCCAATTTTATAACACATCATTTAAAGGTTTTTTTGCAGACAACTTTTGTTCTATAACTCACTGATTTTGAATGTCAAATTATCGTACTTGTCAAAGAATATCCAATGTGACAAAATTTGCAGAAATTCTTCCTGAATTCTTCATCTCACGTCTTTCTGAATCTACCACTTTTTTACTGGCCACCCTATGATATACGTTTAAAAATAAAAACACTTTTTTTTCCATTATCATATTGCAAAGACTGCACTTACATAAACCATGTGTGGATTGTCTTGTCGATCAACATCATAGTACACTTTAAAAAGGCCTTCAATTCCATCTTTTCCAAATCTCTGTTGTTCTTCTGGGCTTGGATTATATCTGATGTAGACGTTTTTATTATCAAAATATTCTATGGTAGCTGTTTCCAGTTCTGTTCATGACAAGAAAATTCTTATAAAACAAAACTGAATGTACAATTATTTTTACAAAGAGTGAAACAATAAACACTAATGGCATATAAAACCTACTTTTACGTGACAAATATAGCACCTCCACAAAAATCAGAAAAAAAATGATACCTTAGATTTAAAATGAATTTTTAAAAATGAAAAATCTTTCTTGATGCTTTTATTTTACAGGGTGCCCAAGAAAAAAAAACACACAAAATGTTAGACTTAGTATATGATAAAAAAATGAACTAACATATAAAAAAATAACTTTTTTAATCTGAACACCACATTTGTGTTTATGTTCTGTTTTAAGTGACTAAATTTCAATCCTTTGCTTTTGATTTAAATAACTGTAACAAAAATTTCATCTATTAAAAAATCTGTACCAAATTTCATTTTGGTGGGGCATCTTGTAGTTTTAATTTCAAGCTAATAAATTTAAATTTAATATATCCAATAAGCAAGATACTTTGCTGTATTTCAAAAACTAATTTTTAAACTGATTGGAATTTTTTTTTGCGAAAATAACTGATTAGCACCCTTTAAGCATAAAAAATCTAAATTTCTTTTTAAGTAAAAATTGTATCAATTTACTGAATTTTTGGGATGAGAATGAAATATTATTTACTTGACTTATATGCAAACCATTATCTTAATCTTTATTAATTATCACAACTAGAAAGATCTATGAAAATTTCACGGTTTACCTATTTGAAATTTCTAATTAATTTAATTAATGATTTAATAAGCTCATGGTGAGTTCTATGACAATATTTCTTTCTTTCATTCTTTCCTTCTTTCATTGTTTGTTTGTTTCTTTCTTTCATTCTTCCCTTCTTTCATTCTTTGTTTGTTTCTTTCTTTCATTCTTCCCTTCATTCATTGTTTGTTTGTTTCTTTCTTTAATTCTTCCCTTCTTTCATTGTTTGTTTGTTTGTTTCTTTCTTTCTTTCATTCTTCCCTTCTTTCATTATTTGTTTGTTTCTTTCTTTCATTCTTCCCTTCTTTCATTGTTTGTTTGTTTCTTTCTTTCTTTCTTTCATTCTTCCCTTCTTTCATTCTTTGTTTGTTTCTTTCTTTTCATTCTTCCCTTCTTTCATTGTTTGTTTGTTTGTTTCTTTCTTTCTTTCTTTCATTCTTCCCTTCTTTAATTGTTTGTTTCTTTCTTTCTTTCTTTCATTCTTCCCTTCTTTCATTGTTTGTTTGTTTCTTTCTTTCTTTCATTCTTCCCTTCTTTCATTATTTGTTTGTTTCTTTCTTTCATTCTTCCCTTCTTTCATTGTTTGTTTGTTTCTTTCTTTCATTCTTCCCTTCTTTCATTGTTTGTTTGTTTTATTTCTTTCTTTCATTCTTCCCTTCTTTCATTGTTTGTTTGTTTCTTTCTTTCATTCTTCCCTTCTTTATTCTTTGTTTGTTTGTTTGTTTGTTTCTTTCATTGTTTGTTTGTTTGTTTCTTTCTTTCTTTCATTCTTCCCTTCTTTAATTGTTTGTTTGTTTCTTTCTTTCTTTCATTTCTTTTCTTTCATTGTTTGTTTGTTTCTTTTCTTTCATTCTTCCCCTTTTCATTGTTTGTTTGTTTCTTTCTTTCATTCTTCCCTTCTTTCATTGTTTGTTTGTTTCTTTTCTTTCATTCTTCCCCTCTTTCATTGTTTGTTTGTTTTCTTTTTTCTTTCATTCTTCCTTCTTTCATTGTTTGTTTGTTTTTTTCTTTCTTTCTTTCTTCCCTTTCATTGTTTTGTTTGTTTCTTTGTTTTCCCTTCTTTCATTGTTTGTTTGTTTTATTTCTTTCTTTCATTCTTCCCTTCTTTCATTGTTTGTTTGTTTCTTTCTTTCTTTTCCCTTCTTTATTTTTTTCATTTTGTTGTTTGTTTTTCTTTTTGTTTGTTTGTTTGTTTCTTTCTTTTTTATTCTTCCCTTCTTTCATTTTGTTTGTTTCTTTCTTTCATTCTTCCCTTTTCATTCTTTGTTTCTTTCTTTTTTTCATTTCTTCCCTTTTGTTTCATTCTTTTCATTCTTCCCTTCTTTCATTTTTTTGTTTGTTTATTTCTTTCTTTCATTCTTCTTTCATTGTTTGTTTGTTTTTTTTTCTTTCATTCTTCCCTTCTTTTTGTTTGTTTGTTTCTTTTCTTTCTTTCATTCTTCCCTTCTTTCATTGTTTGTTTGTTTTATTTCTTTCTTTCTTTCTTCCCTTCTTTCATTGTTTGTTTGTTTTTTCATTGTTTCTTTGTTTCTTTATTCTTTTGTTTGTTTTCTTCCCTTTCTTTCATTGTTTGTTTGTTTGTTTCTTTTCTTTTTCATTCTTCCCTTCTTTTATTGTTTGTTTGTTTCTTTTTTTTAATTCTTTTCTTTTTTGTTTTTGGTTTCATTTCTTTCCTTCTTTCCTTTTTTCATTCTTTGTTTGTTTTTTTTCTTTCATTCTTCCCCTTTTCATTCTTTGTTTCTTTCTTTTTTTCTTCATTCTTCCCTTCTTTCATTGTTTGTTTGTTTCTTTCTTTCTTTCTTTCTTCCCTTTTTTCATTCTTTGTTTGTTTCTTTCATTCTTTGTTTTTTCATTGTTTGTTTGTTTCTTTCTTTCTTTCATTCTTCCCTTCTTTCATTGTTTGTTTCTTTCTTTCTTTCTTTCATTCTTCCCTTCTTTCATTGTTTTGTTTGTTTCTTTTTTTTCATTCTTCCCTTCTTTCATTGTTTTTGTTTGTTTCTTTCTTTAATTCTTCCCTTCTTTCATTGTTTGTTTTGTTTCTTTCTTTTCTTTCATTCTTCCCTTCTTTCTTCCTTTCTTTCTTTCATTCTTTTCTTTCATTTTTTTTTTGTTTCTTTCTTTCTTTCCTTCCCTTCTTTCATTCTTTGTTTGTTTCTTTCTTTTCATTTTCTTTTCTTTCATTGTTTGTTTTCTTTATTTTTTCTTTCTTTCTTTCATTCTTCCTTCTTTGTTTCTTTCTTTCATTCTTCCCTTCTTTCATTGTTTGTTTGTTTGTTTCTTTCTTTTCATTCTTCCCTCTTTCATTTTTTGTTTCTTTCTTTCATTTCTTTTCTTTCATTCTTTTCCATTCTTCCCTTTTTCATTGTTTGTTTGTTTTATTTTTTCTTTCATTCTTCCCTTCTTTCATTGTTTGTTTGTTTCTTTCTTTCATTCTTTCCTTCTTTGTTTGTTTGTTTGTTTTGTTTTCTTTTTCATTTGTTTGTTTTCTTTTTGTTTCTTTCTTTTTCTTCCCTTCTTTTTGTTTCATTTCTTTCTTTTCTTTCATTCTTCCCTTCTTTCATTGTTTGTTTGTTTCTTTTCTTTCATTCTTCCCTTCTTTCATTGTTTGTTTGTTTCTTTCTTTCATTCTTCCCTTCTTTCATTGTTTGTTTGTTTCTTTCTTTCTTTCATTCTTCCCTTCTTTCATTGTTTGTTTGTTTGTTTCTTTCTTTCTTTCTTTCATTCTTTCATTGTTTGTTTGTTTCTTTCTTTCATTCTTCCCTTCTTTCATTGTTTGTTTGTTTTATTTCTTTCTTTCATTCTTCCCTTCTTTCATTGTTTGTTTTGTTTTTTTTCTTTCCTTCTTTATTTTTATTTGTTTTGTTTTTTTTTGTTTGTTTCTTTCATTGTTTGTTTGTTTGTTTGTTTCTTTTTTCTTTTTTTTTGTTTTGTTTGTTTTTTTTCCTTCTTTCATTGTTTTGTTTGTTTTTCTTTTTTCTTTCTTTCTTTCATTCTTCCTTCTTTTTCATTCTTTTGTTTGTTTCTTTCTTTCATTCTTTGTTTTCTTTCTTTTTTTTTTTTCTTTCATTCTTCCCTTCTTTCATTGTTTGTTTGTTTCTTTCTTTCATTCTTCCCTTCTTTCATTGTTTGTTTGTTTTATTTCTTTTTCTTTCATTCTTTTCTTTCATTGTTTGTTTGTTTCTTTCTTTCATTCATTCTTCCCTCTTTCATTGTTTTGTTTGTTTCTTTTCTTTCTTTCTTCCCTTTCTTTTTGTTTGTTTTTTTTCTTTCTTTCATTTCTTCCCTTCTTTCATTGTTTGTTTGTTTGTTTTCTTTTCATTCTTCCCTTCTTTTATTCTTTTTTTGTTTGTTTGTTTTTTTTCTTTCATTTTTGTTTGTTTGTTTCTTTCTTTTTTTTCTTTTCTTCTTTTTTTTTGTTTGTTTCTTTCTTTATTCTTCCCTTCTTTCATTGTTTGTTTGTTTGTTTGTTTGTTTCTTTCTTTCTTTCATTCTTCCCTTCTTTCATTCTTTGTTTGTTTCTTTCTTTTTTTTCTTTCATTCTTTCCCTTCTTTCATTGTTTGTTTGTTTCTTTTCTTTCATTCTTCCCTTTTTCATTTTTGTTTTGTTTCTTCCCTTTCATTCTTCCCTTCTTTCATTGTTTGTTTCTTTTTTTCTTTCTTTCATTCTTCCCTTCTTTCATTGTTTGTTTGTTTTTTTTTTTTCTTTCTTTTTCATTGTTTGTTTGTTTTTTTTCTTTCTTTCATTCTTTCATTTTTTGTTTGTTTGTTTTTTCTTTCTTTTCTTCCCTTCTTTATTCTTTGTTTGTTTGTTTGTTTCTTTCTTTCATTCTTTGTTTGTTTGTTTTTTCTTTCTTTCTTTCTTTCTTTTTTTGTTTGTTTTGTTTCTTTCATTCTTCCCTTCTTTCATTTGTTTGTTTTTTTTCTTTCTTTCTTTCATTCTTCCCTTCTTTCATTCTTTGTTTCATTTCATTCTTCCCCTTTTCTTTCTTTTGTTTGTTTCTTTCTTTCTTTCATTCTTCCCTTCTTTCATTCTTTGTTTGTTTCTTTCTTTCATTCTTCCCCTCTTTCATTCTTTGTTTCTTTCTTTTTTTCTTTCATTCTTCCCTTCTTTCATTGTTTGTTTGTTTCTTTCTTTCATTTCCCTTCTTTTCATTCTTGTTTGTTTTTTTCTTTTTTCATTCTTTTCTTTCATTGTTTGTTTGTTTGTTTCTTTCTTTCATTCTTCCCTTCTTTCATTGTTTGTTTGTTTCTTTCTTTCTTTCATTCTTCCCTTCTTTCATT